AGCAGAATGATGAAAAAGGGGTCCCTATGTCCTCCAGCAGTCTAAGCCTATAGCAGCAGAACTATAGAAAAAGCTCAGGATAACCTGAACCACTCTAACAAGAAGCTTTATCAAAAAGGAAAGTTTTAAGCCTAGCCTTAAAAGTAGACAGGGTGTCTGCCTCACGGACTAAAACTGGTAGTTGGTTCCACAGGAGAGGAGCCTGAGAACTAAAAGATCCACCTCCCATTCTACTTTTAGAAGTTCTAGGAACCACTAGTAAACCTTTACTCTGTTCTCCTTCTTCTTTCAGTGGACGACATCAAGACCAAGTTCAGGAACTTACGGACCATCTTCCAGCGGGAGCACAAGGCGGTGAGCTCCAACAGAACCTGTGGCTCAGAGGACTTCTACCTCCCAAAGTGGAAGCATTACCTGGACCTGATGTTCCTCTGTGACTCTGAAGAGGAAGAGGAGCAGCCTTCGTCTCCACCCGCACACCCCTCCTACACAGCTGCCTCCACCCAGAGCCCGGAAGTCCCGCCCTCCCCGACTCCCCCAGACTCGCGGCTCTCCTCCCCCTCTTCCTCCTCCTCCGCGTCTTCGTCCCGCAGCAGGAAGTCCAGCCGAAAGCGAGCGCGCCGGCGAGCGTCGGCCTCCGGCGGCGAGCTGATGGAGCTGATGAGGAGCGTCTGCCAGAACCGGACCCAGTCGCCACACGCCGGCTTCCTGAAGTATGTGGAGGAGTGTCTGAACGAGGCGCCGCCGGACAAAGTGAAGAAGCTGAAGAAGATGATCATCGAGACGATCCACAGGGTGGAGGAAGACGGTTAGAGAGTCCAGGTCGACGTTCCAGCGCCGGGGGACCCGTTCTCTGCTGTCCCTGCGCTGCAGCAGAACATGGAGAGGACAAGCAGCTCCGAGTCGCTTCCGGACTCAGAGTCTCCTAGAGATGACGGTGGAGGTCTGACCTTCCAGGTTTGGTTTCCTCTGTCGAAGTTCTCCTTCCGCTGCTCCACCAGAGTCCAGACTGGGATCAAATCTGGGAAATCCGACCAGAACGTTTTTTTTGTGGCGTTTCTCTGCGGTTCTGGTTGATCCATGGCGGCCGACTGAAGACGCATCCATGTCGGTTTCTACCTGCTTCTGTCTGGTTTGTTCCTGCAGGTGAAGCCGTTTAGTCAGATGGAGCGACTGGCTCAGGGCGTCAGTCCGTCGGGTCACGCTCAGACTGTCCCACCTGAAACAGGCTGGACCAATCACAGCGCGGGACGATCAACCGAAGGAGAACAGGAAGAGAAAAGCTGAACTTAAATCAGTTTTAACCACAGCAGTTCTTTTAAAATCATTTTTTAAATCTCCTCTTTTTTGATGGAAAACTTACCGATTGCTGGAAAGTTCAGAAAAGCATCAGAAAAGCAGAGGTTTAGTTTAAAGACCTGTTTGATCTGTAGGAAGAAAAAAAAAACATGGTGCTTTATTTTTCTACAAATTATAAATCCTTTTTTCTTCCCTTTGACATATTTTCAGGAATTAAAATAGTTGCATAACGATTTAAAATACATAAAAATGTTTGCCTAAAAATGTTTTATTTGAAAATCATGTTATTCTGTTTGTATTATTTAAATGGAGATTCTTTAATAACATATTTAATGACTTTTATAAGGTTTTGTTTTAATCTGATACTGGTGCCTTATCAGAATCACCTTATTAAATATAAGATGTATGAAACATTTTTGGGTTATTTTTTGTTTTTCTTTAAATTAATACGTTTCTTTTTATTGTTTTTGTTACAAGTTAAGTTATTTCAAAGTTTACTCTACAGTTTAAGCTCACATAAATAAGATTAGTTGCTATCTCATTATCTGCCACTAGAGGTCAGTGTCTAACCAACTATCAATGTTTTGTGTTTTTATGGGAAACCAACTTTTGCTCAGTAGTGAGAATGTTTTCTTTGAAGAAACGTTGAGGTGCTGGGTTCCACCTGCAGAACCTCAGTCCAGGTTCCTGCCATCTGACCTGGAGACTCGGATCAGATATTCCAGGATCCTGAACCTGGAAAGTGAAAGCAGCAGTCTGCAGGTCAGAGGGACGGAGGTTCCAGGAACTCTTCAGATGTAAAAGCTTTTTAATCTGACCTCCAAACAGCTGATTTGGTTTCTAAACCAATGCAACCAGCAGAAGCTGTAATCTGGTTTTAATCTGGTTCCAGTGTGAAAGCAAACCGAGTCCAGCTCTGCTGTGGAGGATCGGATTAGAAAGTCGCCCTTTGACTCTAACATCCTTTTTTACTCCCAGCTGATCTGCATTCCTGCTCCGCCGTGTTTTCGGTTTCCTGCAGCTCGCTCGGCCTGTCCTCCTCATGCCTCCTCCTCTCTGCACCTCCTCCTCCTCCTCCTGTCTTTTCTCTTTGCTCAGTGAGTCGCAGTAAATCCTATTGTGATGCTAAACTGATCTGGGCAGAGAGGGAAGGAGAGCAGAAGCTGCGGGTCTCAGTTGGAGCAGATTCTCCTTCTTCTCCTCTCAAACTTTCGGGACTCCTTCCAGCCTCCATCCGGCCTCCTGTTGGACTTTAACCGCCGCGGGATCCGCGTCTATCTGCGCGCGCGCCGGGAACGCGCCCTGCGGGGAGGACTGGACCCCCCCCCATCTCTGTTTCTCTACAATCCAGGATTTGTAAATGAGCAGCGATGCACCTGTGAAGGATCCGGGGTTCGCTTCATTCTGGGTTCCAGCCCCGCAGGCCGGGCATGGAGAGCCGCGGCCGGGCGGGGCTCCAGCCGGCGGGCGGAGGGGGAGGCGGCTGGGTGCTGGTGGAGGCCCGGCTGCAGGGGGGAGCTCCGTGGGGCTTCACGGTGCAGGGCGGCCTGGAGCACAGAGAGCCGCTCATCATATCTAAGGTGAGTGAGGAAGGAAATACTTTCTCTAACTTTTCCTTCAGCCGGCCCGAAGAACAAGTGAAAGGAGCCGATTAAAGGCCAGCAGGGGGCGCCCTATAAATTATAGCAGATTTAGAAAGTTAGTTGATTTTTAAAAGTGAAGTAAAATATCCAATAATTCTGTGGCATGCAGAGTGATTGATGACTAGATCTGTTTTTGTTCAGTTTTTCATATAAAATATCAGGTTTGCTGAGAATTAGCATCTTTCTTCAGATTGATTAAAATTATATTTACTGCATTTGCTCAGCAGACACCAACATGCTCCACAGTGAGCCGCTAAACGACACTGACTTAGTGGAAAGTTTGATGGAAGGAAAAAGTTTATAAGTTACACAGACCAAAGTCTTTACGGGATCAAACTTCTGCTAAAGCTCTGGAAGGAGCAACCTAAGCCTAGCTTAGTGCTGATTCATGCTCAGAAACCAGGTGGTCTGCATGTGTCGCAGTTAACGCAAATATGCCCCGCCCCCTTCCGCAGACACCCCTCCAAAATTGTAGATATCTGCAGACTGAAGCCCTCTGATTGGTCAGATCTCCATCCTCTCTATGCGTATTTCCTGTTTGGTTCCTTACCGGCTTGTTTTGTTTGTCTGACCGCCATTGTGGAAAACGTCTGGTGAAGATGGAGCAGCTAGCAGAGCGAGGTGCGTGAGAACGCTGGGACCCTTTTTCCACCTGGATCCCCGCTCTTTTTGGCCCTCATGTTCCTCCGTTGCCACAACTGGATGTAAAACTTTTTATAGGTTTGGTTTTTGTTTGTCAGGTCAGATTGTTTTAGCACAGAAAAGCCATGTTTTGGCTTAATCCAGGCTAAACCGTACGATTTTTTGCTCTTTTCGGGCCGATTCTCCAGTTGTGCAAAATTTTCGATCGGGTCGACTTTCAGCCTGATGGTGCGTGGTGTAGTGAACAGGGGGTAACGAGGGGCGATCAGCCTCTAGCGACCACCTCTCCATCAGGAATTGTAAATCCTGCTGTTGAAGCAGAGCTATGAACCGATTTACCTCGAGCATTGTGCAGGTGCAAACAAGGGAGTCTTCTTCCAGATAGACGAGTCCGAGTAGCGCCATCTCACCGCGGAGCTGAGTTCCACGTGGTTTTTAGACGTTCAGTGTGAGCAGGTAGATCGCATCAGAACATTGGTTCCCAGTTTGAGAACAAACATGGTTACCTGTGAACTTTTGAACCTGTGGTTTCATCGTGCAGGTTGAGCTGCAGCTGCGTGCAACAATTGAAAATAATCGCACAGTGTATCTCCGGCTCTAAACAGATGTCAAACTGCTAACTTGGTAGTTCCACTGCGGAACGTCATGGAAACCCTGCAGTAGGCCATAAAAAAGGCGTCTGCAAACAATTCTGCTTTTTAACACTTTGCTGTTTTTAGGATTATTAATGGAAAGTTGAGTGGAAGGAAAAAGATGCACAATAACCAGATGTGACTTAAACCTGCAGTTTGGGAAAGAAAGCCGACTCCAGGCGTTCAGGGTTCAGACTGCAGCTGGAGTCCAGCCAGTCTAGGCAGATCCTTATTGGGTGTTTCTTCTTATAGTTACTGGGATATTAATCCGTTCTCATTAAGCTCAGATTAGTCTCTTTACAGTAAAACCCATTTAAAACAGTTTTTACTCAAATCCATCAGCTAGCTTCTCTCTGCTGATGAAATGAGAAACTGTTTAGCATAAAAGAGACACTGCATTAAAAACGGCTCACAGGCAGAAAAAAGAAAGAATCATGGACGTTTTTTCAGATTCATGGATGAATCTGAATTTCCAGGAGAGTTTAACAAGCTGCAGTCCAGAGCCACGCTGCCACCACAGCAGAGCTTGTGGCAGTATTGAAACTGCTCTGATTCATGATTAACATGAAGGTCTAACTGGAAACCAGCAGGAGGAACCAGGCTGATGGGAGGAACAGGAACAGAGTTAGCATGTAGCATCCAAGGAAAGCTAAAGCTCCTGATTGGTCAGATTGCAGGGTATCAGTAGGATGCTAAACAGCAGAGCTAATATCAGTCATTAAAAATAAAAACAGAAAATGAGAAACTGCTGAAAAACGGAAAGATTAAGAAAAATCAAAAGTTTTTTGTTTGTTAATATT